TTCTATAAAAAAGCCTATTGGGATTTGGTTTGGAATGCATTGAATCTATAAATATGGACATAATTTACATCTTAACAATCTTTAATTTTCCAGTTGATGAACAGAGTGAATCTCTCCCATTTTTTTTAGGTATTCTACAACTTCAATCAGAAATGTCTAGTATTTTTCACTGGATAAACCTTCAATATAATCTTGCTAAATTTATCTCAAAGTAGTTCATGCATTTAATATACATTTTTAAATATTTCATTTTCCAGTTGTTCATTGTTAGAAATAAACATAACATTGATTTTTATAATTTGAACTTGTATCCATCTGAAGACACTTATTAGTTCTAGAAGCTTCTTTGCATCCCTGCCAATTTTCTATATACTTACTCATTCATATGAGAATAAAGAGGGTGTCAATGGGGGAAAAGGAGAAACATCTGTAACAAAAATAAATAAATTAATAATAATAATAATAATAAAGAAAATACAGATAATTGGACATCTTCCTTTCCATTATTTTTATTTCTTTTTCTGGCCTTATTTTATTGGCTGAGATCTCTAGTACAATAGTGAATAAAAGCAGTGATCATTCTTGCCTTGCACCTAATGTTAGATGGACAGCATTCACTTTCACTATGAAGTATCACATTAGCTGGAGGCTTTTTACGTTAGGTCTTATTAGAGCAAGGGTATTCATTTATACTCTCAAATTGCTTGAAAATTGTTATCGTGAATGAATATTGAATCTTTTCCAATGCTTTTCCTATATATTTCATGTGTTCTTTTTGTTTCTCTACTTAATCTATTGATATGGTGAATTATACTGTTTGATTTTTACATGTAAAGCAAACTTGCTTTCCATAGATTAACAACCAAGTTCTACAATAGTATATTTTTATACATTAGTAGTTGATTTGATGATATTTATTAAGGACTTCTGCACGCATGTTCATGAGCAATATTGCGCCTGTAGATTGTGTTTTCTTATAATGTGTAATCCAAGTCCTTCAGGTTTTCAAGCCTGCTTTCCTGGGTGAGTCTGGGTGAAGCCATTGTTCAAGGCCTGCCCCCTGCTCTGCTAGAACCTTGATCCCAGTGGTTCTGGACAAGAAAGACAAGACTGAGGGGCTTAAGTCAAGCTATTTAGATTGATGAGAATGACTGATAAAGTGCAAATGAATGAAATACCAGGGAGAAATTGTAGCAGGCATTGTTGGTTGTTTCCCAAATCCTCTCACCTCCTTCTTTTGCTCTCCTAGATTGTGTGGCTATGCGACATGGGGAGCTAATCTGCTCTCCACTGGGGTTTGGGCCTTGCTTACTTTAAGCCAAATATGCTAGAAGCTCCTTGAAATCCTATTGAAGAACTTTGGTTCACAAACTCAAGATGCAGAGTCAAAAGATGGAAAGTCCAGGGTCCTTGAAACACTGACTTTATCAACCTGTGTTGCTCGTGAGATCAATTCCTTAATTATTTAAGCTGTTCTTAGTTGCATTTGCTATTTTTTTAATAAAAAAAATTGCATAATCATTGCAAATATTACAAAAGATAGAAGTGAGTCTTGCAATCTAGTCACAGAGATCAAAACAATAAAGTGGTTTTTTAAAAAAATTATCTTTGAACTATTTCAGAGAGAGGAAGAGAAATGTATTAATGGCTCTCATCAAATTGCACAAGCTGGATAAATAGTCCTTTTGCATTCTAGGGGTATGGAGGAACTCGAAGTGATAATCAAGAATCTAAACATCTTGCCAAGTGGACAACCCAAGAGACATGCTGACAAATTTTCTAACACATTGTTAAATTCCATGCTGATCACACTTCTCCTTGTATTTGCCACCGCAAAATCAGTGACCTCATTTCCAAAACACCCTTAGGACATGTTATAATTTCTATGATTTCAAATTATCTTGCATTAGTTACATTTTGGCCTGGTAACACTCATGCAGGAGGCTCATTAATTACACCTGGAGAGCCCAGGACTGGCAGAGAAGGCGAGCCTTCGACTAAGCCAAAAACCAGCTGGTAGGAGCTTTAGGGGCAGAGAAAGTGTGGAAGGGAAGTTTGGAATTAGTTATTCTTCACCAGAAACGGGGACAAGGGAAAGAAATCTGGGCACTGGATTACTGCAGCCTCCTAACTGAAATCTCTGTTTCCACTTTCGTCCTCCGGTGGTCGAGTCAACACAGAAGACAGACGCTATTAAACCAGAGTTGGGTTCTGACACTCTTAATGGCTTCCCACCTCATTCAGAATAAAAGTGGAATTCCTTACACTGAGCAAAGGTCATGCATGATCTGGCCTGATACTTCCCAGTCCTGGTTGTGTAGCCACTCACTGAGTTCCTGCCATGGTGACCCCTTACTGGTCTTCTAACACAAGGGCGAGGGCTGACCTCAGGGCCTTTGCATTTACTGATCCCTTTGTCTGAAAGTTCTTTTCCCAAATATTTACTTAGCCAACTCCCTCAACTTTTTTAGTTTTCACTGACATTTCACCCAGGGGGTCTTTCCTCAGTGAAATAGGCACTTGAATAATCCTTCATTGTTCTATTTTTCCCATGGCTCCTATGACATCGTTTAAAAATTAACTAGTTGATTAATTTCATGTGCATGTTTATTTATACAGACAAAAATGTCAGCTATATGAGAGTAGGGATTTTTATCTTTGTTCATGGCTCTATTCGCTCCAAAACTTAAGTGCTCAGTGAATGTTGGCTGAATGAATGAAATGGCTTGGAATCTTAAATCAACAGGCCCCCGACCATGCCATAGAATGAAGTTTGGATTTGAAGTTGAACATGTCAGAATGCATTAGAAAATATCTTCTACTTAAACTTTGGTGTGCATGCTGGGTTGAATGAAATTGTCCTGACTAATCTCAACTTCATAGATTTTGATTTCCTTAAAATAAAACCCCTCTTTACCCTTCCTTTATATTTTTTAAATGCCATGGTTCATAATGCTAGTAAGGGTTTACAATCTCAGCTCTATTCACATTTCAGGCTAAACAGTTCTTTGTTTTTGGGGGGTGGGGTGGGCGGGGAGGGTCTGTCCTTTATATTTATGATGTTTAGTGGCATCCCTGGCTTCTACCCACTAGATGACATTAGCAACCTCCTCCCCAAGCTGTGACAACCAAAAATGTCTCCAGTCATTATCAAATGTCCCCTGGATGGCAAAAATTGCTCCTGGTTGAGAACCACCGATATAAATAATTTTTATATATTCCTACTTAAATAAAGGGTTATTTTTTTGATATAGCACATGAAACGGACATCATGGGGATCTCATGCTTACTTTATCACCCCAATAGATAAGCCCCATAATAACTGGTAGCAACATATCACATTTGTAGACATTAAGATAAAGTGTAAGAAGAAATAGAGAATGGTTAACCCCTTGTTTAACCTCCTTTAGTCCTTCTTCCTATGGACAGATGGTGAATGTTGGGAAGTCTCTTTCGGTAAAGGGCCTGGGGGAAAAATAATAAAAGATGATAATGTGCATTCCTCCACCATTTATATGGGTAAAATGAGACTAAAGCAAACATTACTTTGCTTCATTGTGTAAATAAAATCACATAAAAGAAACAGGCAACCTGAAGTCTGTGTGCAGAAGGAGAAAGTTCTTTATTCACTGATTTCGGTTGAGGATGGTATGTGGCATGTATATGGAGAGTTTAGTTATGGGGGTAGACTGGAGGTATGGAACCGAATTCCTGATGCCTCTTCTTTTGAAAAAAAAGATTAATTGATTTAAAGCCCTACTTGTAGAGATACGTCTTTGTCCCCACCTGGCACCTCCACGGGACCATTTGTCTACATTGCAGTCAATGTTAGTTACGAGTCCAGAGTCCCTAAGAAGTCCTTGCTACAAATCAACTTCTATGTTTTTGGATTTAGGTATAGTTCTAGGTAAATTTTAAAAATTATAGAAGGCACTTAATAGATATTTTTCAGATTGAATCCAAGAAATGCAACCTTTGATCTCTGGGAAATGGAAATCTAGTTTGCGGTCACTTTTGGGGTACACATCATCAAATGATAAACTGAAAGAAAGTAAAAGGAGCAAGACCATGAATGAGCAAGAACAAACACGTGGTGGAGAATCTCAACATTTAATTTTTGAGAATGTCTGGGGTAAATTTGTTTTTGTAACTTAACCATTTTACACAATACTCTACTCTTGTCTATATCATAAATATTCATCTGTGTTATTCAAACAATCCTAGAGTTATTACCTTAGCATCTTTCATTTGAATAACATAGAAATCCCAGAAAGCGGTGAAGCCCAGCCTCTGAGTTTTACAAACTCAGATTTGGATTTGATCTCCATTGATAAATGCCCGAAATTCTAGGGTGTCAAAGGCGTGCCACTAAATAGGTCACTGAAGGCGCCAAGGAAGCCAAAAAAGGAAAGAACCCCCTAAAGGAAAATGGAATTTAATTGGGAACTCTCAGACATCTGTCACTCTTAGTGACAAGAGCAAAAATCACTTTGCACATATTGAGATGCGCAGGTGGTATGACCCACAGCTGAAGTTGAACGGCGCTGGGTGTAGGCAGGGCCTTTGAGGGTGGGAAGGATTGAGAGGCTGGTTTTGAAGATTGTGCTTTTTCATTCTGAATATCATTAAAAACAAAACAAAACAAAACAACAACAACAAAAACGGGGGTCAAAATTGTAACCTAAACTATCAGTGTTCCACTTCAGATGACCTACTTGATGAACTGGGGTATGCGGCCACCTAAAGAACAGGTAGTGAGTAAAGTTGGGAAAAGAAATATTGAGTGGGTGTCTCGGTTCCAAACAAAGCCGCGTTCCACCTCTGGCTTCTCGGATCAAATTGGTGTGCTTGCTCCTGCGGGGAGGGCCTGCCCCTGGAGGATTCTGCTTTTAATAAGCTTCCCAATCAGCTCGCCAGGGGAAGGCGCGCTCCCTCCCTCACCGGCCTGCGCCCTCCCTACCCGCGCGCGCAGCCCCCTCCCCTTCTCCACTTCCCTTCCGTTCCCTCCCTGTCGGGGCGGAATTTAGTCCAAGGCAGGATCAGGTTCCCCGCCTTCCAGTCCGAAAATCCCGCCAAGGGAGCCGCGGAGCAGAGGAAACCCCAAAGTGAAGCCAGGGAAGAAAGAGACCATCACCAGCCAGGAGGGAGGGAGCAGCAGCCCGCGTCGCCAGCCGCAGCGACCCGGGTACCTGGACCCCGAGCAGCCAACCTCGCCCCTTTCAACAAAGGCAACCTGAGCGCAGACAGCACGTTTGCAACTCAAAGTAAGTGCAAAGGGGTGCGCCATTCTCCCAGGTGTCCCCGGTCGAGTTTCCTTCGCCAGCGGATGACGGTGGAGAGTGGGAGAGAGGCTGCCTTGGTGGCTTTCAGGTGGGGCTGCTTTCGAAACCGATGTGCTCCAGAGGCCAACGGAGGCGTATTTGGGGGGGAGGTAGGTCAGGAGAGTCAGGGGGCCCTGAGGTGAGTGGGAGGCAAGCAGCTTTGTGATGCATTTGGACCGTTCCTGCTACCTGCTAGAGGACGTTGCAGGGTCTTTGCTCTTTGTAAAACCTGCCGAAGTAGGTGTGTCTCTGGCCTCGCAGGGGAGAGAAAGTAAGACACCTGAGCCAGCTGACCTCCTTTCCCATCCTCCCGCTAGTCGCCCCAGGACTTGCCCGCGGATGATTCTTAGCTGGCAGTTCTAGATTCGTCGTCGGGGCTGGCTGGTCCCAGCGCCCGCTGACACCCGGCGTCTCTCCCCGAGCATCTGGCTCTCCTTGTCCTGCCGGCCCGCCCGCCCATGGATGGTTCCAGAAAGGGTTAAGTCCAAAGTTTAAAGGACACCTTTAACCCCATTTTTCATCTGAATGCTAATTTGAATAACTGCCCTGTACTTGAACTTTTTATTTAACCCACCTAAAGCTAGGGTCTATTTATTCCTAATTTGTCAGATTCTCAGTTTCTGCGTTGATGTTTCTAATAAGTTAACAAAGTCATTTTAAAGCGAGGAACGTATTTGACTCCTTCCCTACTTAACACAGAGCGCATAAAACATGCGCGCGCGCACACACACACCTTTGTCCTTAACGCGCACACATACAAACTCAAGAACACACACTGAGTTTATCTACTCTCTATTGTTAACTCACCCCTATCTCTGTTAACACTGCTTTGCAAATTTGAGAACGTATTGTAAAAATAGGAGTGGTCTGTGGGGGGAGGGGTTGCGATGAGAGGAGAGAATGGTCAAAGTTATAGTCTTTGAGCATCTTTTATCTTATCTTAGTATTTTGCACTATAACAGTGTGTGTGTGTGTGTGTGTGTGTGTGTGTGTGTGTGTGTGTTGGATGGAAGGGGCTGGGAGGAGATTCAGGAACTACAAGAAGAGCTTTCAACTAATAACAGCATGAAGCAATTTCATGATCCCAGGCAGATGTGGACTTGATGAAGTAGTGGAGCCCACTTGAGCCCCTTGATCATCAGGGGTGAATTGATATGTGGAAATACTACAAGGTAATGGGAGTGTCTCCCAGCACAGAAAAATCAAGCCTGTGTTCTCCATCTCCATTACGGGTTCTTTTTTAAGTACAGTTTGCATGTTAGAGACCAAATCCTTAGAAAAAACTTTTATAGTCCAGTTAAATTCAAAGGCAATGGGAGCGGATGCGATCTTTTTTCCCTCCTTGGGACATGAGTTATTTCAGAGTGGTGCTATTTGTACATTCTCCTAGAGGATGAGATTTTTAGAAAGTGTTTTATTTAAAAAGAAACGAATGCCCCCCTTCTGTGCTTGAAGAAATTTTGTGCGTTGAGTTCTCCGTGCTTTAAAAGTTTAGAATTTCTGTCCTGCTGTTCCCAGGCCCCCTTTAGGACATTTTTCTCCTCCTTTAGCGAAGACTGCCCACCTGAGGTCGTACATATGGCTCACTGTGCGCTGTGTTCCAGCTGCTCACTTGTGGATACAATTGTATCATATTTGCAAAGCTAGAGCTGTTGATGTATAACTTTTTATTGCCTACCTTTTAAATGCGGTATGATACAGACTAAGAATAACATATAGTTAACAGTGTATATAGTATAACATGCGTATTATATAATAATACTAATTCTAAAATTTCTCAGACCTCTTTCCATGATGTTTGGAGTTATCAATTTACTCATTTATTGAAAGTTTCTATGCACTTTATTTGGTCTTTACATATAGCAATATGTTGCAATTTTTAATTTTTTTTAAGGGGCAATTTTTTTTTTTTTTTTTTACTCCAGTGTGGCCCATGGCCTGGTTTGTGTTTTCACAAAACCCGATTATTGACAATAACCTGAGAGAAATAACATCCCTAAATAGTTTAATTGCTTTGATCAATAAAATCAATCCTAGAAATGAAATATTTTCAGTTTCAATGTTTTTCCCCCCCCACTTTGAAAATACTCTTGCTTTCTCATTTAAATGGTTCTCGCATGCATTCGGAACACATTTCTATTTGCCACGTGGAGTTTCTGTTACTCTTCCTAAATTGTCTCAGGACACTGAGTTTCCTTGGCTTATTCAAAATGGTGCATGTTGAGGGCCCCGCAGTCAGAATTCGGAATAGAAAGTCCAGTTCTCCCAATACTTACGCTTTTTTATATGGTAACATCCTGATAAGGAGAGTTGATCTTGACTTTTCTCGTGAAGGCGATATCCACACTAAGACCACCCAGGGTGATCCGTGTGCAAACATGGTCCACTCCTGAGTGCACCTCGGTCCCCTTCAAGGTGTGGCTTACTCTGGAGCATCTGCAGAGTCAGGGCTCTGCGACCGCCCTTGCTCCATGGCTCGCATGCTCAGTCCCCTCTGGCTGCTATTCTTATGAATAATCAGAAAAACTTCTACCTCCTGTTGGCACACTGCCACGCCATTGTCCTGGAGTAAAATAATATTCCGGTATGGACCTTCTCTTTAGGAGCTTTTCCCCAGCCAGAGTCAATTGGCTGGAGTGGGATTTGGGTCACGGCCTCCCTTTGGAAAGTTGTTCCCTACTTTTGATGTTTCTGGCCAATTCTATTTTCCATCCACAGGGCCGTGTTTTCCATGCGTTTCATCCAGGCTCGCATGTGGTGTCGTTTTCCCAGGTGTCATCCAATCTTTCCAGATTGTCAAATATAACGAGCCTTTGGTTCCTCCCTATTTGAGTATTGGTAAATAAGATGTTAAAATGTCTGTGGTTTAAAAGGGCAGCTGTAATGTAACATCATCTGAGGGCATTGTAATTACAGCAATATAATGGGCTGAGTATAGAAGGGTAGGCAAGGACCCCAGTGACGAGTTCATGCTTGAATTATATGAGAAATAAAACTTAATTTCTCCTACTGGGTTTTAGTTTGGAGTCCTTTCTTCACACTAGGTTTAGATAAAGGGACGTTTCAAAAAAAAAAAAAAAAAAATCATCATAATGAGTTTCCTAAAAGCAGAATCCTTAGATCCTTAAACTTTATACTTAGTCAAAACACAAAAAAACAAAAACAAAAACTCTTGCTATATATTAATCTTGAAGAAGTGAGCCATAGTAACAGACACTGAAGTTCTTAATTCTAGGAATTGCCCTTAGTGAAAACCTAAACATTATTTTAAACCACAAATAGCATGCTGTGTGCGTCTCTAACTTTTTGTTCCCACTTCTTCCAACTCTTGTGCATATCTGTTCCCCCTTCGGGCTCTCATTCCTCCTTTTTCTGGTCCAGTTGCTATCATTTCCCATCCAACAAGCCCCGTGATGACTTGCCTAATTTCTTTTCCGTGATGATGGCATACCTCCATTTATTTATGTTTAAAATATGTTTTAATTTATTTTTTTAGAGAGAGAGGAAGGGAGAGATAGAAACATCGATGGGAGAGAAACATTAATCAGCTGCCTCCCGCACGCCCCCTACTGGGGATCGATCCCTGACCTGGACATGTGCCCTGACCGGAAGGGAACTGGGATCTCGCAGTCCATAGGGATGATGTTCGATCTACTGAGCCACACCAGCCAGGCCATATCTCCATTTATATACCTATGTATCAGGGGTGGGTGCCCATATTTTGGAATGCATGGAAGGTTGGACCTGGCTCATTAGATTGAAGTCAAGGTTGAACCTTAACTCTACTAGATTGTTTTCCTTTTGAACTCAGACCTTGGCTAAGATCAGCTTACACTTTCATCACTACAATAAATGTTGACTTTGTTCTCCTCTCTGCTTCTCAACTACAGTGAAGGGATAGAGCCAGGATTACTCGCCTCCGTCACACTCTTCCAGCTCCTGCTTCAATCATACAATGTTTCTTGCGACAATAGTAGATCAATTTAATAATAAACAAGTTTATTACATAGGCACAGGACGATGTAATATATTTAGGAAATATTTAAATCCTAGTTTCTTTTTCTCTGGGGCTTACAGTTTTACGACTGTGAAATCCTTTATTGGAAATTTATTTAAAAGACATCTCAAAGAAAATCCATTGTACCCCCACCCATGTTTGAAAGAAACACTTTCAAGGTCACATTCATTTCGTTAGACCCACGACTTTTTGCATTTCTTCCTTTTCTCTATCACACAGCCCATTGGCTGCTCATACTGCCTTCTTAGCCTCCTTGACATATTCTTATTATCTTATTTTTTTTTCCAATTCTTTGGTGACTCCTCTCATTTTCTTTGCCCCCACCCCACCCCCTCAACTTCCAAATGTGGACATTTATTTCCAAATATTTTTGTTTTCTCCCTCTCTCTTTCCCTTCCTCTCCCCTTCCCTGCCCCCCCCCCCATGCTTCATTGTTGTTCATGACTCTTCTTTGAATGTCTGAAATCCCTCCATTCTCTATCAGTGTTCGTCTCCCATCTTTCACTGTTTTTTGAATGAATACCGAAGGGAATGGTTTGAGCACAATCCTATTTGGGAAAGGACACTGCAGTAAAGGATCCCTTGTTCTATTCTTCTTGTCCCTGACAGACACCAAAGGTGTTGGCTGCCCCAGTACATGTCAGGCTGTGGGACGTGGATAGGAAGGTCAATCAATACACCTTTAAGCAACTTGCCGTCTCGCAATGTATGTGTGAATTGTAAGATTAAAACACAAATTAAGACAAGTTAGAGTAAAATATGCAAGATTTTTTGTTCTAAGCGATTCCAGTGACAAAGAGATTAAAAAAGAAAACACACACACACACAAATATTTATATGAGAAAAAAGAAAAGAACTCCCAAATGGCTAGATGGAGACAGATAATATTTACTTCTAAAGCATCCCCGACTTCTGGTGCTTTGAT